GGGGCAAGCGACGCTGGGAGACCTGAGACCAGACGGTGACGTGCCATCCTACTGAGACGTGGGAACGACGGGTGACCTAGACGGTGGTGCCAGAGGACCGACGGGTGGGTGAGGGACCGACAGTCACACGACACAGCGGCTACCTGACCTGACCTGACCAGACCTGACCCAGTGTGGTGGGACCCGGTGTGTAGTGAGTACAGACCAGAGCCCGGCTCCCTGCGAAAGGTGGCCAGAGGGGCCCCAGTGGTACCGACTGTGCAGGAGGCAACTGACTCCTCTAAGGGAAAAGTGGTGACTACTCCGAGGTCGTGGAGGTGGCTGACACCCACCAGGTTCCTAGAGAACGAGGGGGTGTAGTAACCTGTAAGGACCCCAGAGGGAGCAGCCGGACACGGGAGAGTGGTGGTGCTGCGAGCAACCACAGGTCCCACAGAGGGGTCGGCCAAGGCAACAGTGACGGGGGTGCGTAGTGGTGTGAGGTCGGCGCGGTCACGAAAGAAACAGCTGGACGCCCCAGAGTCGAGTGTGAACGACAGGGACGCAGTCTCGGTGGTCGAACCTGGACAAGCTACGCTAGCAGGGAAAGCACTAGCAACCTCTACAGCACCTAAGCTAGAGAAACAGGAATAGTACGCAAAATCATCAACAATAGAGTCATCGGCATACATCACAGACATAGAACGCACAACCTCATCTAACTGAGGTGCAGTCATGCTATACAACTGCGGGCCAACAGAACGAGCCAGTGAGGCCCAATCGGGGACAGTGCGGGTGGGGCCAAACTGCGCACGGTAGCGGTCAGTGAGCTGTGCAAAGCACTGACCCGGGGGGTGGAAGCGGCCACAAGGGTAGCCTCCACGCGGCCCAGTCAGCACCCTATACTGGCAGGGGGGGTGCTGGGCTGGACCACGCGACGTCCAGCTGGGCGGGCCGCTGCTGCTGACAGAGCTCCCGGGTCCAGGGGACCTCCACTGCTGCTGCGGCGTCTGCTGGCGCTGGCCCTGGAACTGCTGCTGCCGCTGCTGCTGTGGCTGCGGCTGCTGCGGCTGCTGCTGGTGAGGCTGCTGCTGCTGGGGGGCCCCACTACCTCCACCTCCACTGCCTCCTCCTCCGCCTCCTCCACCACTCCCACCCCCTCCACCTCCTCCACCACCACCCCCTACGCCACCTCCACCACCGCCCCCTCCGCCACCCCCACCACCGCCCCCTCCGCCACCCCCACCACTGCCACCACCTCCTCCCTTCTTACCCCCCTTCTTGCCCCCTTTGTTGCCAAGGGCAACGGCTGCCACCTCTGGTACAGTGGCAACAGACGCCGAATCGACAGGGGAAGCTAGGAAGGACGGAGCACATCCCTCAAAGATGGGGGGGAGGGCAGTACCGGAGGCAGCAGCAAGGGAACGGGCAAGGTCCTCAACAGCAGTGAGCCTCTTCTCAAAGAGGTCAATGGTGAGGGACATGGGGTTAACAGTGAGAAAGTGGTCACGGGCTGTAGCAAAACGGTCAGGGAGGCGGGTGGACAGCAGGTACAGTGTCATCCACATCGGGGGGGGTTGGCGGCAAGTAGGGCATCATCAGGGGCAGCAGAACGGAGCTGGGCATCAAGCGAGCGCAAGTGCAGCACAAGGTCAGGGACGCGGTGAAACGAGGGCAGGTCACGAAATAGGAAGGGCAGTACAAGCCGACCGAGGGAAGCAGTGGTTGGGGTGGAATAACGTTTGACGACAGCATCAAACAGGCCCTTGGCCGTCACCTCCTGCTCGAAGTGCTGCTGCTCTGTCAGGGGCAGGAGATCGGTGATGGCGAGCACTGTGGCGTCGTCCCGCACCGCCCACCGACTGGCCGCCAGCTGCAGCTTCTCAAAGCGAGCTTCCTCTTCGTCCGACGGGGAGGAACCTAAGGGGTCGGGTTCCTTCGGGGCTACGAGTTTGCCCATGGCATGGTCCAGAAGGCGAACGTTGTTCTCGATCCTACTCCCTAGGAAAAGCTTGAGTTTGCGGAGCCATCCTGGGAAGTCTACCGGCCTACCCTCAGGATCAAACGTGAGAGTACGAGAAGTGGCCATGGGAGGAGGCCCTGGCGCGAGGGCAATGAACGGGCACGCTCGGGTGGGGTCTAGTACGTTTGAGAGCGGTACCACGTGGTTCAGTGAGGTGGATAGCGGCTGGTTACTGGTGTGGTGACGGGAACGGGTGGGGCAGCAGCTCTGGCTGGTACAGGTGGGGCAGTGGGTGCAGTTCTGTGCGGTGCTGCGTGGTTCTGTGCAGTTCTGCCCTGTTCAGTGCGGTGCTGCACGGTTCTGTGCGAGGGAGAGTACCGGGTGGGGTAGCAGCTCTGGCTAGTGTGGGTGGGTCAGCAGGTAAGGTTCTGGGCGGCGCCGCACGATTCTGTGCTGTTCTGCGCAGTTCTGTGCGGTTCTGCCCGGTTCTGCGCGGTTCTGCACGGTTCAGTGCGGTTCTGCCCGGTTCTGCGCGGTTCTGCACGGTTCAGTGCGGTGGAGAGTACGGGGTGGGGTAGCAGCTCTGGCTGGTGCGGATGGGTCAGCAGGTAAGGTTCTGGGCGGTGTCGCACGGTTCTGTGCGTTTCTACGCGGTGCTGTACGGTTCTGGGCGGGGGAGAGTAACTGGTGGGGCGGCTGGGACGGGTGGTACAGCGGGCACCAGGTGGGTCAGCGGGGACGGGTGAGACGGTACCGCAGCTGGCGGGCTGTGCGTGCGTGCGGCTATTGCTGCGCGTGCGTGCAGCTATGGCCGCGCGTGCATGCTGCTAATGCCGCGCGTGCGTGCTCCTAATGCCGCGCGTGCGTACGGCTAATGCTGCACGTGCGTGAGGCTAATGCTGCGCGTGCGCGCGGTCGCATGTGCGGCTACGACTGCACGTGCGCATGGGCCTGCTGCGCGCTAGCGGGCTGGCGAGCTACGCACGGGGCAGAAAACGGGTGAGGCGCGGGTGAAAAACGGGTGACGCTCTGGGCTAAACGGATGACGCGCTCAGGGCACTACGGGTGACGCGCGAGCTAAGGGGGGGTAGCAGGGCGCTTCGGGTATTAAGTGGCTACGTTCCTAGGTCGGGGCACGGGGCGGTGGGCCCATAGGGTCGACTAGCTCTATACCATGTCAAGACTAGAACGGGTGAAAAGATTGACTAAGGGAAACGAGATACAAGAGGATATAGCTAACCCTAGGAATATGAAATGGTACACCTAGACTAACATAAACTAAACATATAAAATATATGTTGACAGTGTCGTGCTGTGTCATGCTGTGCCGTGCTGTGTCGTGCTGTGCCGTGCTGTGCCATGCTGTGTCGTGCTGTGTCGTGCTGTGTTGTGCTGTGTCGTGCTGTGTCGTGCTGTGCCGTGCTGTGTCGTGCTGTGCCGTGCTGTGCCGTGCTGTGTCGTGCTGTGTCGTGCTGTGTCGTGCTGTATCGTGCTGTGCCGTGCTGTGTCGTGCTGTGTCGTGTTGTGTCGTGCTGTGTCGTGCTGTGCCGTGCTGTGTCGTGCTGTGCCGTGCTGTGCTGTGCCATGCTGTGTCGTGCTGTGTCGTGCTGTGCCGTGCTGTGTCGTGCTGTGCCGTGCTGTGCCATGCTGTGTCGTGCTGTGTCGTGCTGTGTCGTGCTGTGTCGTGCTGTGTCGTGCTGTGCCGTGCTGTGTCGTGCTGTGCCGTGCTGTGCCGTGCTGTGTCGTGCTGTGTCGTGCTGTGTCGTGCTGTATCGTGCTGTGTCGTGCTGTGTCGTGCTGTGTCGTGCTGTGTCGTGCTGTGTCGTGCTGTGCCGTGCTGTGTCCTGCTGTGTCATGCTGTGCCATGCTGAGTCATTTCCGCCAGCCCCTCGCCCCTCCCCACCCACCCTCCGCGCCAGTGGTTCATCCTGCAGCGGCCCTGTGTCATGGTTGTCTCCGCTCAACCTATCCCGCCGCTCACCCCTCCTCCTTCCATGCAGTGGATCACAGGTTCAGGTTCAGGTTCAGGTTCAGGTTCAGGTTCAGGTTCAGGTTCAGGTTCATCCTGCATCTCTCCCTTTCAACCACTCCCCCCCATCCCACCGTCCCGCAGTGCTTCATACTGCAGCGCCGCCATGCACAGATGGTGGTGTGTGGTGGTGGGTTCTCAATATTCCATCACGCCCCTTCTCCCATTCCCCTCTCCCCCTCCCACCCTCCCCCAGTGGTTCATACTGCAGCGCCGCCATGCACAGATGGTGGTGGCGGACAAGGAGCACTACGATGTGCACAACCGCACATGCGCTGTGAGTCATGCGCTGCTATGCTGTGGTGTGGTCTGCTATGCTGTGGTGTGGTGTGGTGCGGTGAAGTGTGAAGTGTGATGTGCTAAGGTGTGGTGGCGGACAAGGAGCACTACGACGGGCACAACCGCACATGCGTTGTGAGTGAGACCAAGCTGTGATGTGATGTCATGCGCTGCTATGGTGCGGTGCAATGCGGTGCGGTGCGGTGAGGTGCAGTGTGGTGCCGCGTGGTGTGGTGTGGTGTGATGTGGTGTCGGTTGGTTTGGTTTGTTGACGGACACGGAGCCCAATGACATACACAACCGCACCTGCGCTGTGAGAGCCTGCTGTTGTGCGGTGCTGAGTGGTGCCATACTGTGTAGTAGTGTCATGTGCTGTATGGCACTGTGCTGTGGTGTGCTCTGTGGCGCAATGCTGTGCCGTGTCGCCCTTTGCTGTGTGGTGTCATGCTGTGCTGTACTGTGCTGTGCTGTGCATGTTGACTCGCATCACAGCACCGCACGGCAGTACCGAAGAATGCAGCTGAAGAATATGAGGACAAGGGGTTCGAGTTGCCATCTCTTTCTCCTCAAACTCTTCAACTCACATACCGGTCGTCCCGATGCTTTCCAAGACTGGTAACCACTCTTCCATCGCCTGCAAGGTACTTCAGGCAGCTCTGTCTGTCTGCAGGTACTGAGCTATGTCTGGATCTCGAAGGTACTTATTCCCCACACACGCTGCCCTGCCTTGCGCCCTCTGCTTGCTTGCAGTTCCGGATGCAGTGGGGGCGCTACTGCTGTGCTGATGAGCACTACATCCAAACGCTGCTGCATGTAAGTGTGACTGTATCCAATCTCGTTACACACCACCGGTGAGTGTGACTATGTCTCCCTGCCCCATGCCACGTACGCCCCTCGTATTAACCCCTCCCTCACCTGACACCAGCGTCTCCCTGCCCCTGTGCCTGTGCCTCTTGTATCCGCCGTCACACGGGACAGGAGCCCACATAAAGGACCGGCCACCCATATCGCACTACCCCACCACCGTCACCTCTTCTCGTGTGTCCCCTCAGACCACCCGTTTCCCCTCCACCTTACCCCTCATTCTCTCCCTTCCCTCAACATGTGCCTTCAGATAAAGGACCGGCGAGGCATATCGCACTACCCCACCACCTTCACGGACTGGCGGCTGAACCAATACCACCCCATGCTGTACCATCGCCAGAAAATCTCTGCCAATATGATTCCCCTTGCCACATGCGTCCCTCACACTACGTGTCTCCCCTTCTCCATGCCCCGGTATGCCCCTCAACATGTGCCTTCAGATAAAGGACCGGCGAGGCATATCGCACTACCCCACCACCTTCACAGACTGGCGGCTGAACCAATACCATCCCATCCTGTACCACCGCCAGAACACCACTGCTAAGATGATCAAATACATGAAGGTATGGTGCACCAGCGTAGAAACTAGGGAAAAAAAAGGCTATTCCTTATGTCGTGGTATAGATCATCATCACCAGTGAAACCTAGTGCTTGCATGATGCACTGCACCCACGCTGCTGCCACTGCACAAAACGGATAATGTGGTGTAGTCGTGTCATCCAGTTAATTGAATCAGCGCCCACGTTGCGCCACACCTCTCACACCTACCAAATCTCAGTGCATTGTCCCCTCCACTCTCTATTTTTGAATCGACTCAAAAATAGCCTCTCACACCTACCGGATTTCAGTGCATTGCCCCCTCCACACTCTCTCTCCATGCGTCGACAGCCACCCGGGTCCTTTCTCTACCATCTGCCCACCCTTGCCTGCCAGTGCCACCCATCCATGTCTTGTGCTTTTGAGAATTCTCAAAAGTGTTTCCCATGTGCCCACCTTCCGTACCTGCTGTATCCACATCTCGTGCTGGCAAGGGCAGAGCAGCTGCTTCCTTCACGGGCCTTCGTTTCTCAACGTCTTGTGGTTTCTCTCCTCTCCCTCGTCCCCACAACCCCCCCCCCCTCGCTCCCATCGCATGTTGCATCTCCACTGCCCGCGACAGACAACTCAGCAATACATCCAGTTCCGGTCCTTCTGGCGGGAGTTCAAGAGTAACTACACTTATGTGAGTTGCAGTCGGTACACTTGAGCAAACAGCATATGCATGTGTGAACAATACATTGACTTTGGACCCTCAGGGCGTGATTTGCTTGCATTTATGTGCTGTCAGCACCTCATCGCACCTTCGCACCCTTTTATTGCATGCCATGTAGTTTGTGGAGATTGCATTCGCTTCTGTGAAAAAATATAACTGTTGACGAATCTGTTTTTTCACTTGTATTTTTTGCAGATATTTAACACATCAGAACCACAACCCCCAAAGGTGAGATTGCTATTCAAATATACAGCTTCACGTTATTGTCGCTGGATGCAAGGTGGTTCTTTGATAAGCCTCATTTCATCCATACAACACTCAGAGCATCCCTTTTCTCCCCTCCCCAAAAACCTGTTTGGCAGACGACTCAAAATGGGTATTGTGTCCTACAAAGAAAGCCACGCAACTTCTTCTTGTTTGCACGGAAGTTTCATGTCTCTTCACTTCGTTTTCTACTTAAGAAATCCAAAGAACTATTAGGGTACTAGTTTGGTGTGGTACATTATTAGCAAAAAAAAAAAGGTATTCTTTTTTCTCTCGACATGGGTTGGTCGCTAGTTGTTGATTGTTTAATGATGTCACAGAATGAATTTGATGTACCGTATTGAGAAAAGGAGAAAGCGAATGGATGAACTATGAATGAAGTGAGTACATATAGGAAACCCTAATTGGGTTGTACCCCCTATGGGATACCCCACTATAGCCTACACAACAGCATAAGCTATATGTATGTTCTGACACACCCCCATAGGCAAAGTGGGGGAGAACAAGGGGTCACAAGACCAGTCACACAAAGCACAGCAAGCTCAGGGTGGATCACAAAGTCACCACACAGTCCGAGCACAACGACAAGGCCACAAGGCCAGTTCACATGCAGGAGTGCACACATATATATATAGAGCTAGACAAGCAAGAGCAGGTATATATATGTGACAGTACAAGCAAGGTCAAGAGGAGAGCAAGTGAGGCAAGACAGGTACAAGACCCAGCTGAGTGCAGAAGCGCTGATGGTCACAAGGCGCAAGTGCCTTGGTGAACACATCAGCAGTGTTGGCCTGAGAGGCCACGTACGCAAGTCGCAACTGACCACGCTGCTGCAGCTCACGAGCAAGAAAGTAACGGAGAGCAATGTGCTTCGTTCTGTGCTCCAAGCGCTGCTCTCGACACAAGGCCAGCATGGCCTTGTTGTCTACGTACAGCACTGGAGGAGAACGAGGCGGCTCTCCAAGGTCAGTCAGCAGGTAGGTGAGCCAGCGAAGCTCCTGTGCAGCCATGGCCCCGGCGTAGATCTCAGCCTCACAACTGGAGCCGAGAACAGAGGACGAGCGTGTAGCCCGCCACGAGACAGAGCCGGAACCAAGACTGAAGGTGTAACCCTGCGACGACCGCTGCGTAGCCTGGTCGTTTGCCCAAGAAGCGTCCGCGTGCCCAGTGAGGACCACTGGACTCCGCCCTCCAAGCACTAGCCCCATGCCCGACGTACTGCACAAGTAGCGCAACACCCTCTTCGCTGCAGCCATGTGCTCTGGTCGGTGTCTCCCAGGAGCAACATAGCGTGCAAGAATGCTAAGAGGGTATGCAAGGTCAGGTCGTGTGCAGGTCATCAGGTACATGAGGCAACCAACAAGCTCTGGGTACGGGCCACTCGACTCTACGGACTCATCCGAAGGCAGAGCTGAGAGCGAGTGGCGAGTAGACAGAGGAGTGGCCTGAGGCGAGGAGTACGTGAAGCCGAAGCGCTGAAGGATCTGCTGCACCATGTGTGACTGAGTCAAGGTAATGGTGCGGCGTGCTCTGTCCCGAGTGATCTGCAAGCCAAGGTAGCTGCGCAGTTCACCCAGGTCTGTGCACGTGTGTCTCTTCTGCAGCTCGGACTTCACGTAGGCTAGTCCAGCAGTGTCAGCTGTGGCAAAGACCAAGTCGTCGACGTACACGAGGATGTAGAACGGCGGCAAAGAAGTGTCGGTGCGCAGAAACAACGACGGGTCAGCAGTAGAGGGAGCAAACCCAAGAGCCGCAAGCGTAGTCCTCAGTGTGTCGTGCCACTCACGCGGTGCCTGGCGGAGACCGTAGACTGGCCGTCGGAGGCTCCACTGGGTGCCAGGAGGGAAAGTCCCAGTGAAGCCAGGTGGACGGCGCAGCCAGATCTCCTCGTGCAGGCTACCCTGCAAGAAAGCAGTGCTGAAGTCAAGAGAGTGGAGCTCGTAGTCGCGCTGAGCGGCTATGTGCAGTAGCACCCGAAGAGTGGTCATCTTCGGGGTGGGAGAGAAGGTCTGAAAGTAGTCAACTCCCTGCCGCTGACTGAAGCCACGAGCGACGTACCGCGCCTTGAAGACAGGTGGAGAGCCCGGCGGCCGCTTCACCCTGAAGATCCACATGCCACTGACGATGTTCGCCCCAGGAGGGGGAACCGCGTCAACGTAGGTGCCTGTGGACTTCCAGGACGCCATCTCTGCATCCATAGCTGCCTGCCACTGAGAGGAGTAGGGACCCTCTACGGCCTCCGCGTAAGAGCGCGGAGTCGGGATGTCTAGTGCATCCGGGTCTCCCTCAGGGGCAAGTAGTACGGACGCGAGATGAGGTGAAGCAGCAGCCAGACACTGGAACTCCTCCTGCCTGTCCTCAAGGACGTCCGTGCCAAGAGCACACTCACCCCCGACGGACGGAGGACAGACAGACGCAGACTCAGCAACAAGACCGGCAGCGTAGTCTAGACGACAGCGAGCAGCAAAGTCGACGAGCTCAGCAACAAGCGCAGACGCAGCAGTGGACTCAAAAGAGGGGTCAGTGACGACAGTAGCAAGGAGACGTGTGGCAGTAGGACTAGCAGCACGAAGAGAGTCGGACTCTGGGTCGGTAAGTGCAGGAAGGGAGGACTCAGGAGGAGAAGGCAAAGGGGCACGCAGAGGAGCAGTGGACGGACGCAAAGACATCCGGTGCGTGCCAGGGACAGGAGGAGGACGCTGACGCGAACCGCGACCACTAGCGCGAGCAGCACGAACAGGCGACGCAGGACGAGACGCAGGCTCACGACGCTCAGCAAGACCTCCAGTGGGACCAGTGTAAGGAGAGGGAGCAGGAAGTGGGGAGGCGGGCTCTAACTGGGACTGTGACTGAACAGGCGGTGGACACGCTGCAGGAGGAGAAAGACCAAGAACCTGCTGTAGGAGGGGAACGAAGTACGGCCGAGGCCGCGCGGCGACTCCAGACACAGCAGGGACAGCACCCTCAGCAGCAGCACCAGCGCCAACCGCACCTCCAGCGGGAGGACCTCCAGCAGCACCAGCAGCACCCGCAGCAGGGCCACCGCCAGGAAGGACAGCAGCAGTCTCAGCACCAACACCCGCAGCAGCTCCAGCTCCAGGCGGACCCGAGGGCCCAGCAGCTCCGGGACCAGCGGCACAAGTACCCTCAGCAGCCGAAGGAGCTCCAGCTCCAGCAGTACGTCTCCAGCGGCGAGCAAACCACTCGCGCAACTCCTGTGGAGAGAGGGGCTCCCGCCGAGGCGAAGCACCCGGAGAACCGCCAGGTCCCGCACCGCCAGACGCCACAAGGGGAGGTCCAGTGGCCGCAGGCTCCGCAGCTCCAGGCTCAGCAGCTCCAGACGCAGCACCCCCTGGCTCAGCACCCCCAGTCGCAGCACCCCCAGGCTCAGCACCCCCAGACTCCGCACCCCCAGGCGCAGCACCCCCAGTCGCAGTACCCCCAGGCTCAGCACCCCCAGACTCAGCACCCCCAGGCTCAGCACCCCCAGGCTCAGCACCCACGCGCGTAGCACCCCCAGAGTCAGCACCCCCAGGCTCAGCACCCGCAGCAGGACCAGAGTCACCAGCAACCTCGACCGGCTCGACCGCGTCTACCTGGGACACACCTGAAGGGGCAGGACCCTGAGGGGGAAGGGGGTCTACCGGGGGGGGACCTGGCACAAGGAAGTGCGGTGGCAGGGGGAGGGAAGGAGTGCGGTAGGGAAAGAGGCGGTAGAAGGGGACTGACTCGTCGAACGTGACGTCCTGGGAGGACAGAACACGACGAGAGGAGGGGTGGTAGAACTGCCACCCTGGGGCGTCAGGGGGGAAGCCGAGGAAGATACAGGGAGCAGCACGAGGGGACAGCTTGTCCGCAGACAATTCGCGGACAAACGCCCGAGATCCCCAGACACGGAACGCAGACGCATCGCCGACCTTCCCCGTCCACAGCAGAGCTGGGGAGGTCTCCGGCCGGGAGACCCTGGGGTGAAGGTTGATCTGATGCGCCGCGTACCGAACCGCAAACGGCCACAGAAAATGGGGGGCAGCCGCATGCATCATGGACGTACGAGCGACGTCCATGACCATGCCAATGCGGCGCTCAGCAATCCCATTTTGCTGTGGAGAGTCCGGAAGCGTAAAGGTCTGGCGGATGCCTCGTGCACGACAGTAGGCTCGCAGAAGGCCAGAGGAGAACTCTCCACCTCGGTCAGAGTGCAGACGCAGAACAGGAAAGTCCGAGCCGAAGCTCCTCCTGAGCTGGAGACGAGCTGCGCGGATCCAGTCGATCAACACCTCAGTGACATCACCCTTGCTGCGCAAGGGGAAGACTGTGGTGTAACGCGAGTAGTCGTCAACCACCAGCAGGAAGTAGCGCTCGTGACCCTGCCCACTGACGCGGGCCGGGCCCCACACGTCCATGTGAAGCGTCTGCAGAGGAGCCTCTGTCGGGGGAAACTGGGAGGAGTGAGGGGCAGCCCGGAGCCGCCCCTCGACACAGGGGACACAGGAAGGTCCGGGTCCCGAAGGAAGGGGAGGGAGAGACCGGGGAAGACCAGAGACAAGGACACGGGAAGCCATGCCCCGAAGACGAGGCAAGGAGGGGTGGCCAAGACGGTGGTGCCACAGGAGGGTCTCCTGAGACAGGCGGCGACACGAGCAGGGGGCAGACTCAGGACCAGACCTGGACGCAGCAGCAAACACCTGACCCGACGCAGCTACCTGGCCAGACGCAGGGACAGGAGGAGACTCAGTGGTCAGGGTGTAGAGACTCGACCCCGGCCGACGCGAAAACGTGGCCAGGTGTCGGCCTGTGCGGGCGTCCGAGCAGTGGGTCACCCGCTGACTCGCAGGAGTAAACTGGTGAACCCCCGCATCCTGCAGGTCAGCACCACTCACCAAGTTCGTCGAGAACGAGGGGAGGTACAGACCAGACAAGGTGCCCGAGGGGGCAGCCGGACACGGGAGGACAGTGGAGAAGTG